TTGGTCCACATTAATTTTTTCATTATTATTCTTCTACTCATTTTCAACCACACATTCTTCAATAAAATAATATTTCTCATCGCATCAATAATTTTTCCTTCTTTTTCAATCACATATTCCCCATCACATCAACAAAAAATGCATTCTTGACCCAAAAATGTGCACCAAATAATAAAATCTTAAGGGAAAATATTTTTTCTTACCATGAGCACAACGATAAGAAATATAAATGCAAAAAAAAAAAAAATCTTGCGCTACCAAATACAAATAATATATCACCAAATCTTTACCATAAGAAAATAAAGAAAATCTTCTTTCCAAATCTAAGAACATGCAATTTAAGCAATATTTTTTATTCCACAAGTCAATTATACAATATATGTGCTAATATGGAAATTTATGAATACATAAAGTGGTAAGTCTGTGGATCAGATGGATTCGAACCAGTGCACAAACCATCTAACTTAGTACGTGCTCGTTGACTTATTCAGCACAGGCTCACTAACTTAATCAGTACTGCACAAGAAATTTTCTTAGGGTTCATTTGAGTGTAAGAATGAAATTTGGGTGGAAAGAAAAAGAATTTCAAAAATTAAATTATCTAGAACTTGTTTTACTATGAATTATCAATTAATTGTGTTTGATTGGTATAATTTTTTACCTGAAAAATATTGAAATTTTGAATCTTTTGGTGTTTGTTCGGCTTTATTTTCCAAGAAAATTATCCATTAAAGGAATATAATTTGTTGCAATTGGAGATAAAATTTGTTTCAATTGCAAAAATAAAAACATTGCCTAGAAATCTAAAAACCATCAAACCCATGGGAAAACTTCAAGGGAAATGTGGAAAATTGGGTCACGTGAGGTATATAGTTGGAAAACCAATTGCCTAGAAAATGTTTCCTATCAAACAACCTAAAATGTGGAAAAGGGGAATAATTTCTAATTTCATGAAAATTCTTCCAATCAAACAAGGCCATAGATTTCTCCAGATATTTCACTTTGAAAAATCAAATTTTTATAGTTAATAAAACAAAAAATTGAATGAAAAACATATTTTTCCAATAGTACACAAAAGGGATAGTTTTTTATAGTAAAGTAAAGGTATA